GGAGGGGGGCACCAGAATGTCCAGGACACCTCACTTTATTGAGATCACTACTTCCTACCACTGTGGTTTCTGTCTCTGCTCCATGTTGTCCTGGCTTCAGGGCTTTCAAGCGCTTTGACGTCACAGACACTATAGAGGGCTGCCAAGATGTGTTCGATCGTCAAATGGCCAGTTTTGAGGTGACCATCCAGGCCGGAACGTGTTCTGAGCTGAAGTCTGGTGGACGGTAAGTGACGTTTGGAGAGTTGTGCTGTCCATTCGGAAAAGACATGACTCACGACCTGTGTAACACTGGTTTGGACCGACTTTCGGCTTGAAACTTGTTCGTCAATTCGGTCAAAAATGGGTTTAGAAAATCCGTCACTCTAAACGGTGGGCAACACGAGGCCTGGCCTGATTTTGTGGAACCTGGCCGTATATAAAATTTTCTTTGACTTTCTCACGCCTTGATCCCTGAGGGTGGTGAGGTTCCTACGAATGCAGGAAACTTGGCCGTAACTAAATCAATAATTTTGGTGAATTTTCTAACCCCAAACTCGATAGGAAGAACTGCATGGTCAGCGAGTGGACTGTCCAGCCAAGAGCCAAGACTATTTCAAGTTATTGGTGAATGCTGCAACATTCTAACATTTCAACAAATCTATGTCTGTCTGTCTGTATATCTATCTACCTGCCTGTCCACCTGTGGGCGGGCGGGCGGGCAGGCGGGTGTGTATGTGTGTGTTTGTGTGTGTGTGTGTGTGTGCATGCAAGTGTGCGTGCGTGCAAGCGTGTGTGTGTGTATGTGTGTGTGTGTGCGTGCAAGCATGCGTGTGTATGTGTGTGTGTGTGTGTGTGTGTGTGTGTGTGTGTGTGTGTGTGTGTGTGTGTGTGTGTGTGTGTGTGTGTGTGTGTGTGTGTGTGTGTGTGTGTGTGTGTGTGTGTGTGTGTGTGTGTGTGTGTGTGTGTGTGTGTGTGTGTGTGTGTGTGTGCAACTATTTACATTTGTGTGTGTATGTATGTATGTGTATGTGTGCGTGCGTGTATGCGTGCGTGCATGTGTATTTATGTACATGTGTGTGTGTGTGTTTATACTACAGCGCTCTGGTGCGTATACCACTATATGGAGATGTGGAGATAGAAGTCGAGGGACAGTGTCAGTGTGCGTGTCAAGAGACTCCTCCCGTAAGCCAAACCTTGGGTGTGTGTGTGTGTGTGTGTGCGTGGCGCGTGCGCACGAGGAATGTGTTTGTGTGTGTGTGTGTGTGCGCACGCATGCGTGCATGTGTGTGTACGTGTGTACATGTGTGCGTGTGCGTGAAGCATGTATGCAGTGCTTATAGGCATCAGGATCATGTCTGGATGTGACGCTTCAAAACCGTCCAAACAGTCCCATGAGAGTGATGCTGTATTGTCTTGAGCACACTTTCTGGCGAGTGTCAAAGTCAACAGTTGTGTTTGTACCATGCTCCCTGTGTTCCTTTTCGCATACAGTCAACTTCGCTAATAACGACTGCGGATATAACGACAATTCGCGAATATCGACATAATTTCCACGCCCAGAGCAAAGTCCCATCCAACTGTAATACATATACCGTATTATCTCTAATATAAGCACAGTCTCCAATAATAGCACGTCTCCAATAATAGAACACCTTGGAGCGGATTTCAAAAAATAAAGTGCTCAGTCTCCATTATAAGCACACTGCGTAAATTCATTATCTGTATCGGCGAAAAAACCCTGAAATATGTGTGTCTGACATATAAATTTGGCATGGCAACATGCCTCTAAAATGAGGTTGAAATAATAATGGAACAGTCTCCAATAAAGGAACGTCTCCATTAATAGCACGGGGCGGATGTACATTGAAAAAATAAAGGACCGTGCTTATATTAGAGATAATACGGTAATGAGACTTTGGGTATAAGGACACTTCGCGAATTAGGACACTTTTCTGATGCCCCGCCCCCCGAGTGTCGTTGAACGCAAAGTTGACTGTACATCATCCTGAATTTGATGCTTTGAGCTGACTCGATTAAACAGCCTGTAATGTGCACTAGAGGTTTTTAGCATCGGTTCGGCCAATTACTGTGAGCTGAGCTCAGCTGATGAGACCTGACAAGGTCAAAAGTTCCAAACAGCTTTGCTTCTCGGAGAAAAGGATTGTTACCACCCACGTTTGCCCTGTGAACTGTGCACAGCGATGATCATGGCTGACTTGTGCCTGTGACTTGTGGGGACCGCGAGTACAGTTGCCATTATGTTGTGTCCTTGAAACTTTCATTGCCTTTGGTTATTTCTCCTGCTCATACACCAACATGTCAAGCATGCGTGCGTATGTGTTTGCGTTCCCATGTGCGGATCCGTGTGTGTGTGTGTGTATCCGCCTGTTTTTGTGTGTGTGTGTGTGTGTGTGTGTGTGTCATTGTGTGTGTGTGTGTGTGTGTGTGTTTCTGTGAGCTGATCTGTGCATCCTTCTGTCCGTCTGTGTGTACGTGTCACTGTGTGTGTGTGTCCGTGTGCGTATATTTCAGGTTTTGAACTCCACTTGGTGTACGACACAGGGCGCTGAGCAGTGTGGCCTGTGTAACTGCAGGGATGGATTCAGCAAGTAAGTACAGTCAACTTCGCGTATAACGACACTCGGTGGGGCATCAGAAAAGTGTCCTTATTCGCGAAGTGTCGTTATACCCGAAGTCTCATTGTATGTATTACAGTTAGATGGGACTTTGCTCTGGGCATGGAAATTCTGTCGTTATTCGCGAATTGTCGTTATATCCACAGTCGTTATTAGCCAAGTTGACTGTACATGTAAAATACAATACAATAATGCCCATCCGGAGATGATGGCAGGTCCTGAAAGGACCGACAGTGTTTCAGTCACGCGGAACAGAACTTCGAGTGGCGAGTGAGGTCCTGGCGACGGCGAAAATCTCGACCGCAGTGGCACCTGAAATCCCGAGACACAGGTTTAGGCGGCTGGATGGTGTTGCAGACCAGTCTCCACGCACGACGGTCCTCGGCTAGGCTGTACATGTAGTGGCATATGCACACACTCTGGCACTGTTTTGATAAATATGACCTGGCTGGGGATATCGGCGGAGAATTTGAAATTTGAACTCGGATGGTGAGCCAATTTAATTATAGTAGAAAATAAGGAGGACAAAATGTTATGAGTTATGACTAACTGTCCACCAACGTAACCCCTTAATACAGGGAGTGCAACAAATTTGAAATTTGCAATGCTAAAAAAATTATAAAAAATATATTACGGTTCACGTGGCCGAGTTTTCCGCATCCGTAGGGACGCCACCACCCCCTGCAGATCAGGGCACAGATGCATGCTAGGTATGTAGATAGCTCTGTCGTCGGGTGTTTTCCCGAGCGATGGGCTTATCCGGTGCTCCCCCCTTTCACACACACGTACTCCACAGCACAGCGCAACAGTTTATCCTCGAGGAAGAGTTCATTTGCTACCCTGTTATTGAGCACTCCTGCTTGTTGGGTCTCGCGAATCCAAGTAAAATCAATCAGTTCAGGGAAAACACCAAGAAGAAGTTTTACAAGAAGAACGGTAATATCATGCGTACGCACATGCGCACATGCAACCCGCTCGCGGACCGCACGGAGCGGCGAACCCCGAACGCAGCGCGCCGCCAAAAGGACCTTGTAGAGGTCAAGCGGACTACATTTCTTTGTGCCAGGAAACACAGAGATATACCTAAACATCACACTTCAGTGTTTTGAAAACATGGGTGTGTGTGTTTTGTTGCTGTTTTTTTCTTGTCTTACTCCATACAGCAAAAATGAGTTTCAGCGGTGTGAATGTGACGAACGTAACCAAGCACCCTGCATACAGTAAGTGAGACACAATGTCGCTATAGTGACCAACTGTGTATGGAACCACACCTTCGGCATTTCGGGGTTCGAAAAATCAGGGTTTCACAAACCAGGTTTTCATCTATAAGGAAGCTCTTCCCACCGTGTATCCAAAGGTGTGGGGACAAGAGAAGAGTTCTTTTTGCTGCTGTTGGTATTTATAAGGCCTGGTTGTGTTGGGCACGGAGGCGTAATTGCTCTCTGTTTGTCTTTGCGTCTGCGTCTATCTGTGTGTGTGTGTGTGTGTGTGTGTGTGTGTGTGTGTGTGTGTGTGTGTGTGTGTGTGTGTGTATGTGTGTGTGTTTGTGTTCTGATTTTAACTATCTATGTTGTCCTCGTGCAGGCCGGGTACTTTTCAGGTGTGCAGCGGCCGTGGGAGGTGCGAATGTGGCACGTGTGAATGCGAAGGTCTTTCGGTACGTTAGGCTGTTTGAAGAACAGTGCTTGGAACCGTGTTTTGTTCGTATGACTTTCAAGTATTGTTGCCGTCCATGCAGTGCCATCACTGCATTTCAAGCTGATGCTGGCTCACCTCAGACAAGATGGCGGTGAAGAGAATGACACAGAAGCGGAACCTTTTTTTAATTTTTTGGATTTCTATTCTTTTTGTCTCAAACTGGGTCTTTTGCAACTGGATGCTGTGGGTGTGTGTGTGTGTGTGTGTGTGTGTGTGTGTGCACGTGTGTGTGCACGTTTGTGTGCACTTGTGTGTGCATATGAGCGTGCATGTGTGTGCACATGTGTGTGTGTGTGCACATGCATGTGCGTGTATGCATGTGTGTGTGTGTGTGTAAGTTTTTGTATGATTGTATGCTTCCATGTATGTCTCACCGTGTACACGTGTGTGTGTCTTGTGTGTCCAGAATGGAACATATTGTGAATGTGACAATGGCAACTGTGAGGTTGGTGACAACGGTCTGCAGTGCTCAGGCAGTGGCGAATGTGTGTGCGGCACCTGTAGATGCAACGAAGGCTTCATCGGCGACGCGTGCAACTGTGCCACTTCGGACGATCCATGCCAAGCCCCAGCAGATGCGTTGTCGGTAAGCGTTGCATCACGTTGGTATCCCGTAAGGTTTGTGAGTTGACCAATAGTCTAACCTTGAGCAACTACAGTTGAACATCGATGGTACGACCATTCGATTATCCGGAATGGGTTTTTGAGCCGCAAGTGGCTCAGGCTGCGCCTTTTCGTACGAGAGCTTGCACGAAATATTAGTAGCTGCAGCGCTCACTCGCTGCATGTACCACTGTGTACAGGCTGTGCAGTTAACAACTTACAAAACTTACAAAAACTAACATGAAAACGACTGTTGTTGCGGGTATCGTGTGATATACCGAACACAGGTAACAGCCTGTGGTAAGATTTTCCTTATCCGGAACATTTCATTACCCGGACACCTTCCCAGGATCCGCTGCCCAGAGGTGGTCGGCTAATCGATGTTCAACTGTACAAGTGCTCTCACTAAACTAAAGTTTGGAGAATTAGAATTTCTGTTCCTCTGACTAGTTTTTGGTGTGGTGGGTGGCGTGGATATGCAGGGGCGTCACACATGGTACAACCATGGCCCTACCGCTTTTCGTCCAGGATGGTCCGCCCAGAGCCTCTGTAGAGTGCTAAAACGTGCCCTGTTGGCCGAAGCGGGATACCCCGGACCTCCGGTGGTACCACTCTCTGCTGCCCTGTGACGCCCCTGACATGTGTTGTGCAAGAAATATAGAATTTTTTTTTTAAATCAATGGGTTCGCGTACCGGGCAGGTCGAGAACAAGGAGTCGTACAACTCCCTGGTCAAGAACCACCTTTTCCGCTTCCGTGGGACGTGCAAGAGATATGCTTGTTAGGAAAGATTTATGGAGGCTAGGTGACTTGGGGTGCTATGCCACTACGATAATTACTGTTCTTGTTGCTGCTGTTATTGCTGCTGCTGCTGCTTGTGTTCTTGTCATGGGTGTAGGGACGTCTATGCAGTGGTCAGGGAGAGTGTGAGTGCGGTCGGTGCAGCTGTCTTAGCGGATTCAGTGGCCCGTTCTGCGAATCGTGTACCCGCCTGCCCGGACAGGTCAGTCTTGTTTGTTGTTGTTTTTTATGGGGAAGCTTCATCACCCACCAAGCCAATAAAGTCTGTGGAGTTTTACCGCCATTGGTATTTGTGAACAAAATTTATTTTATGATTCGCACTCAGCCTCAGGTGAACATTGCCTTCCGTGAATGTTTAACCTATCCAGTGCGACAAGGTATTGGCATCCATGTTTTCCATGCTTCGATTAGTCACTGTTCAACCTTTTCTTCAGACTGCAAATCCATGTTTCTTTGTGCAAATATCAATGTGTGCTTTCTCTCCATCTGTGTGTGTGTACGTGTGTACATGTGTGTGTACGTGTGTGTACGTGTGTGTATGTGTGGTTGTATGTGGTTGTATGTGTGTGTGTGTATGTGTTCACATGCATGTATGCCTGTGTGTCTGTGCTGTGGCTGCTCTGCTCCATCCTCTCACCCGCAGTGTGACCTGGACGTCTGCACGGCGTCCGAGGATTGCGTGGACATGCGCGGATCGTCTATTGGCAACGCTACATCCTTCGCTGACATAGTACGCAATAGGCCAGGGCTAGCAGTGTGCTCCGACTTCCCAATTCGCCTCACAGAAAACGTCACCTTGCCCTACCTCATCGACGGTGAGTATGCTGTAATCACTATGATTGTACTGCACAAGAGATTGAGCAGGGGCGTCGGACACGGTACAGTCACTACGGTATTGACCGTACCACTATTTGTACCAAGTACCCCGTGAATCAATAAAATACACTGATTTAGGCTCGAAATTTCCACAATTTTCGTCTCAGCCGCCCTCCCCCACGAGTAAATTGTACTTCAGATGGCTGACCGTACCACACTAAAATACCTTCCGACGCCCCTGTTGAGCAACCGTGTTCTTAAACCTCAATGACATGCTGTTGCGTACTGTGCGGCCTTGCTCGCTTTCCCAAAGACGAATATTCTTTGTGTTTGAGCTGCAAAGCGAAAGAATGCTTTCGTATCACACACTGGCGGGAGAAAGTGTTAGGTCCGACCTTGAGCTGAGTATGATGATAATCCGAAAGAGTGTGCAACTACCTGCACTATCTGTATTGAGTGCCGAGCGAAGGCAGAACTTCACATCACTTGGTGTGGCTCTATAACATGCCATACATACTGGCAAACAGTGCAACGTTATCGGCAGGGAGGTGCACCCAAAGCAGGGTAGCAGTACCAATCTTCACACGTGCTTGCATGATCACTGAACACTGTGTGCATTTGTGTGCACACACTTTTGTGCATTTGTGTGAAGAGTTTAGATGGAAAGCGAGAAAAGCGCCAAATTTGAGGAATTGAGATTTTCAGCTCAGCGTAATCCGCAGGTCTAGGGGCATGCTGACACCATATTTCACGTTCGAAATTGGAAAAGAACTACTAATTTTATGGATTTAGGTACAAACTGTAGTGAATAGTGTTTGTCGCCGTATTGTCCCTCTCATCTATCATACGCATGCTCGTTGTAAATAGATCAGTCCTTGGCTTGTCCCGCAAGGGACTCCTGCGTGACTTGCAGGCAAATACAACATAGTGTTGTAACTCCCTTTCTCTACCTGCTCCCAGTCCCGTGCCATCTCCACACTTGTACAAATGGGACGACGATAACTACATTTAGAAGACTATATTTGTGACAAGACGACTGAAAACACAACTAGACCTGACGAACTCAAGACGAAGACATCATGAACTCAAGACGAAGACATGATGAACTCAAGACGAAGACAGCTTTTCATACCACAGCAACACGCGCATGCACCAACATGACGTACACACGACGTACACAAAATAACGTACTACAACAATAGTGGCAGCGGTGGGATTCGAACCCACGCCTCCGCAGAGACTGGAGACACAAACCGCAGATGACTTGAATCCTTTTTTGGTCAATATTCGAAAAGTGATGAAACGGATATGTCGCGTTTTGCATCAGAACTCTTCGTTCATTATCATTGTGTCCGGTGGTTGCAGGGTTGTGCATGAAACTCTTGAGTTGCACCCATTATGCAGTAAAACCTGTAACTAAAGACCACCGTGACCAGCGACCAGCCTGGTACTACCGACCACCGTGACCAGCGACCAGCCTGGTACTACAGACCACCGTGACCAGCGACCAGCCTGGTACTACAGACCACCGTGACCAGCGACCAGCCTGGTACTACACACCACCGTGACCAGCGACCAGCATGGTACTACAGACCACGTCGCCAGGCACGGACAGCCTCACGTTCATATTATGGTTGTGCGGTGCAAACCTCTAACTAAGGACCACCTGCCACTAAAGACCGCCTTCTCCGGCCCCCAGAGGTGGTCGTTAGTCACAGGTTTGACTGTAGCACTGCTTGACTGTAAACTGTTCGTATGTTTTTTTAGAAGTAGAAGTCATTGTACAAAGCATACCACATATAAAAACATTGGCAGATAGTAAAAGATATGGTGAAAGGATCATAGAGATCAAAGAGAGAAGAAAAACTAATGGGATAGAATAGCAGCCTCGGCAACAGCAACCTCAGCGGAAGAAGTGGGGATGTACAAGAACACACACCTAGCACCACGCAGACACGTAAACTCTTCGTATGCACTATTTTTTGTAATTCTCCATACAGGTGCCAATGCAACGCAGTGCAGTACAGTGGTGGATAGTTGCACTGTGACATACTATGTGGCTGTTCGGTCGGCAACCAGACCGGACCGGCGGGTGTTTTCACCGCTGCGTATTGCCAAGGACAGAGGTATGTTGTTAGGTGTGTGCGCGTGTGTGTGTGTGTGTGTGTGTGTGTGTGTGTGTGTGTGTGTGCGTGTGTGTGGTGTGGTGTGTGTGCATGTGGAGGGGCTATGCGTGTGTGTGTGTGTGGGGGGGGGGTGTTTATGTGTGGGAGTGCTGATACATTTACGTTTGTCCATCTGCACAGATTCACACATTACAACAAATAATGCTGTATGTATAGCCTAAGGTTCTTGCATGGCAGATTTCACATGAACACAAACACTCATGTTTGACTGATTTGTTCTGCTATCTTCTGTGTGTGTGTGTGTGTGTGTGTGTGCGTGCGTGCGTGCGTGCGTGCGTGCGTGCGTGCGTGCGTGCGTGCGTGCGTGCGTGCGTGTGTGGATGTGTGTGTGTGTGTGTGTGTGTGTGTGTGTGTGTGTGTGTGTGTGTGTGTGTGTGTGTGTGTGTGTGTGTGTGTGTGTCCAGTGTGCCCTACGACATCCCGATCCGGCAGCACCTTCAACTACCTACCAATGGTCATCGGCATAGTGCTTGGTCTGTTGTTCATCGGCGTGGTGGCGTTGCTCATCTGGCGCTACTACACATGGCGTAAGGATGAGCAAGAGTACAGCGAGTTTGTGAACAACACCAAAGACCAGGATTGGTCCAAGGTAAGATTCGAAATCTGGTTTAGTTGGTGGACTCGATCGCATAACTTGTGCCCACAATTTCCATGTTACAAAAAGGAAGATGATACACTATTTTTTTTACTAAGAACACAGCCCTACCAATAGTGTGCTGCCTTCTCGGTACATACGTATGTACACTGTATATCATGTGCACATTCACATGTCTGAAGGTTTGTGGTTATTCAATAAAAAATAAATAAAAAAGACACGTGGAGACCAAAAAAAAAAAAACACAGGGATGTAGGGACTCACGCCTGGGTTATCCGGACCCCGAAGTTGCGGGCGCTTCGGTCTACCGGGCACCCTTTGAGCGAGTATCAGTGGATATAATTACTACTCTTTTGTCAATTCTGTGGAAATGGTGACGCTACAAGTTATGCCATATTGACAGCACACTTTCAACCTCGTGAGTAACGCCAACTCGCGAATAATGACACAGACTGCGCCCTTGGCAACCGATTGACTACCTACATTCAACTTCATGAATTGCCACTTTTTTTCTCAGGCACAATTGAGCGGCGTTCGGTTCCCAAGGCTGACTATACTGGGTGATGCAACTTAGACTCAGGGTGGGGGAAAGGTAACGGATTTTGTTGCATTGGTGGTGGCTTTCTCCGCGACACCGGCTGAATTAATGTGTGGATTGCTTTGCTTTTGGCTCCGTTCCTGTGTGCGTGTGTACAGTCTCAAAACCCGCTATTCAAGAATGCTACCATGAAGTTTGACAACCCTATCTTCTACACGAAACCGCCCACCAACGGCAAGGGAATCGAAGGCGAGCCAATTTGAGATGTGCCGCTGATGAGTCAGTGTTTGTTTTTCTGAACTGAACTTCCCCGCAAAGAGTTGTCTCGACCGCACATAGCTGTGTCAATCGCACATAGCTGTGTCAATCGCACAGAGATGTGTCAATTGCATGTCCTGCTGGTGATGGGTATATTTAGACATGAATAGCCTTCATCTGGCTCTTGAACCGACGTTGATTTCGTAGTCCGATCTTTATCCAATGCTCCAGTATACTACGCATAGCAGAGACCGAGAAGGAGAAAGAAAGATGGAGAGAGAGAGAGTGTGTGTGTGTGCGCGCGCGTGCGTGTGTGTGTGAGAGAGAGAGAGAGAGAGAGAGAGAGAGAGAGAGAGAGAGAGAGAGAGAGAGAGAGAGAGAGAGAGAGAGAGAGAGAGAGAGAGAGAGAGAGAGAGAGAGAGAGAGAGAGAGAGAGAGAGAGAGAGAGAGAGAGAGTTGTGACAACATACAGGTACCAGTTGTTGATCTGCACACAATCACCCACCACGCATCTGTGTATATTTCTTTATAGCGTCTTGAGCTCCGGTGTGCACATGCATGCAGTGTACAGTCACAGATGTTGCGCAATCATTGTACCTGCTGCAGAGAGCGTAGAGATAAGCTAGAAGCTTACAGTCTGGCTAGCTCCATATACGTTGACATAACAATCCGATCGCCGAGCATGGTCTGCTAGGCATGCATTGATTGAGATCACCTCATGCGTAAGGTGTGTGTGTAAGCTTCAAGGCCAATGACATGAGCATATCCTGCACTATGCTTTTTTCAACTTCTGTTTTTAGCCGCTCTCCCGAAAGCACATTTATGGCAGTGTGCTCGATGTTTCAGTCCTAGTGCAGAGCCCTATATATTCTCATTGTTTTAATGTTTTGAGCGCATTTTGAGTACATACGCTGCAACCCTCACCCAATGACTTGAGAACGTTCCTGCCATTTTGCCAATTTCCCTGTATTTATCCGGCTTCTAGTCAATTTCAGTATTGCAGTCTCTTTTTTTGTTGCCCTGCATTCGGTGCAGCTGACGCCGGCGGTGTGGTTTGGTGCATCAATACCAGGACTGTACTGGTGGTTTCATGCATGGATGAAATTTTCCTGCTATACAGTAATCGAACACACATGCTGTATGTATGCATGGCATAATGCTGTAAATCGGTAACCAACGATTTTCTTCCGGATGGCGAGGGATCCGGATAAAAGAAGACCGGATAAGCGAGGTCTGACTCTACATGAGAATATGAACGGTCTACATTACGTCTGAGTTGGGTAGCATTTTCTTCGGGTATCAGGTCTGGGTAGTTTTCCACGGGTAGAATGGGTACGGGAACGGGTAATGTTTCCATGGTAACACGATAATGCACCCCTTCCCTTACACACTGGGTAGACATGCGGAGTATTACATGAATGTGTACACGTGCACTGTACATGATGTCATCTGCGACTTCGGGTTTTCGGGTACTATTCTGTACCCGACTACCCGAGGTCCGAGGGTACCCGAGCACACCACTGTAGATATACAGTTATACGCTTTAAAAAACCCATGCACAATCGAGTAGAGTCACCGGATACTCTAATTTTACAAATTTTCGGTACTTTCGGTGCATCTGCTTCATACCTACAATTTCAACACACCGAACAAACACTAACACACATAATCCAATAGGGAACAGCTTCCCTGTACCGAAAATTTCTGTTCACCTAACCTGGCCTTTTGCCCTCATACCGAAAATTTCTGAAATTAGAGTACTGTCGACTCCTGATATAACGAACACCATTGTACAGGAGAATTAGTTCTTTGCAGCCGAAGTTCGTTACAACAGAAATTCACTCACACTGTACAAGCAGCAAGTCATGACTAGCAAGTGACTCATGCATAACAGTATACCGTATTATCTCTAATATAAGCACGGTCCTTTATTTTTTCAATGTACCTCCGCCCCGTGCTATTAATGGAGACGTTCCTTTATTGGAGACTGTTCCATTATTATTTCAACCTCATTTCAGAGGCATGTTGCCATGCCAAATTCATGTATGACGCACACATTTCAGGGTTTTTTTCGCCGGTACAGATAATGAATTTACACAGTGTGCATACAGTCAACTTCGCGTATAACGACACTCGGCGGCGGGGCATCAGAAAAGTGTCCTTATTCGCGAAGTGTCGTTATACCCGAAGTCTCGTTATGTGTCACAGTTGGATGGGACTTTGCTCTGGGCATGGAAATTCTGTCTTTATTCGCGAATTGTCGTTATATCCGCAGTCGTTATTAGCGAATTTGACTGTTTAATGGAGACTGAGCACTTTATGTTTTGAATGCCGCCGCAAGGTGTTCTATTATTGGAGACGTGCTATTATTGGAGACTGTGCTTATATTAGAGATAATACGGTAAGTGCGCTTGGTTTACAAAAATTTATATGAGCGTTAGCATGCTAACGCAAGTTAGCAGCCAGCCCAGCGAGCTGGCCCGGTTTACGCGCATGCGCAAACCTCTCGGGCGTGCGCCCAAAACGATCCCGTGCAAGGTCTCTTGCAGGATCATTGCTGTTGTTGACTTTTGAGCTTGTAACTCGCAGAACGTTTTTGTTGAAACAGCTGGCCCCTTTCCTTCACCCCCTTTTCCATTTATGCGCTGCTCTGGGATAGGCGCGGTTCCCAAGAAGAACGGGAAATTACGAATGATACACCATTTGTCCAGCCCGGAGGGTCAGAGTGTCAATGATTGTATCCCAGCAGACCCCTTTTCTCTCCATTATGTCACTATTGACGATGCTGTTAATCTTATCATGCAATTGCCTGCCCCAGTATATCTTGCTAAGCTCGATGTCAAAAGTGCATTCCGCCAAATTCCTGTCCGCCCGGAAGATTGGCCCCTGTTGGGCATCCGCTGGCAGGGTCAATACTTCTACGAGCGCGTTCTCCCCTTCGGACTACGCTCAAGCCCTGCCATATTTGACTCTGTCGCATCCGCCATAGAATGGATAATGCAAGAGCAGTTCGCTATCCCACACCTGCTGCACTATCCCGACGACTTTCTCAATGCATGCTCTGGATCTGTAGTAGCCCACCAGCAACTCGCTATTCTGCTGCGTGCTTTCACATACCTCGGCGTACCCCTGGCCCCAGCAAAAGTGGAGGGTCCAGCTCAAGTCCTGACTTTTCTCGGCATTATTCTTGACACCCGCCGCCTTGAAGCCCGCCTGCCTATGGACAAACTTTCCGAGCTTCGGGACCTCCTACGGGCCACTCTGTACTCAGTGTCAATTTCGCAACGTCAACTCGAGTCTCTTCTGGGAAAGCTCTCGTTTGCCGCGAGAGTGGTAGTCCCAGGACGCACATTCATGCGCAGACTGTGGTCAATTGCCAGCCGGTACCAGCAGCCCTATTACCGGATCAAGCTCTCTGAAGAGTGCCTCGAAGATTTGCGCTGGTGGCTCAAGCTCTTGGACCAGTGGAACGGCCGGTCGTTCTTCTTACATCCCAACTGGACGCCGTCCCCGGACTTGCAACTATACACCGATGCAAGTGGTGCCATTGGCTGGGGCGCGTACAATTCCGGCCGATGGATACAGGGCAGGTGGACAGACAGCCAAGCAGAGCATAGCATCGACTGGAAAGAGCTGTTTGCAGTTGTGGCAGCCTGCAGTACCTGGGGAAGCGAGTGGCCTCAGCTGCGAATATTAATTCACTGCGACAACATGGTGGTAGTGGAGTGTATCCGTTCCGGCACCTCCCGATCTCCAGCACTGATGGTTCTGCTGCGGGAGCTGTTCTTTGTATGCGCTGGGCACAATTTCACTGTTTCTGCTAAGCATATTCCAGGAGCCAATAACACTATCGCCGATCGTCTCTCTCGTTTCTGCATGCAGGACTTCCGCAAAGCAGCACCGTCAGCTCGCATGGAGGCAGACACGGCCCGGCCCGTCTGCCGCACCAGCTGATGTAGCTTACTATGCATCACAGGCTATCGCCCCAAACACTCGGCGCACCTATCACGCAGGCGAAAGCCGCTACATACAATTTTGCTCTCTCAATCAATTCTCGTTATTTCCTGCCACTGATGTTATACTGAGCATGTTTGCTGCCTACCTAGCCAGGTCAGTCCAGCCCAGTACTATTCGTGTGTATCTGTCTGCTGTACGCAACCATTACCTACACCTAGAAGCGGGCCATGCGGACCCTCTGGGCGACACCTGGCTACTGGGCCGAGTTTTGAAAGGCATAGACCGTTGCCACGGGAACTCAGCCACTCGTCCCCGGTTGCCAATCACAGTGCGTATGGTGCACCAACTGGTTGATGCCTGTCATCGCTGCACTACCCTGAATGACAGTGATAAACGTCTTTATGTTGCAGCCATGCTGAGTGCTTTCTATGGGTTCCTGAGATGCGCGGAATTTACCAGCATAGTACGTCGTCGCGACGTCAAGTTCGAGCAGGGGGCAGCACTCATATTCCTCCGCACTTCCAAGACCGACCCGTCTGGCCGAGGGGTAACCATAACAATAGGCCCAGCATCGCCCCCGTATTGTGCAGTTTCCGCGCTTCTCCAATACCTGCTGGGAACTCGCAGCTCGACCAGCCCGGACCGGCCCCTGTTTGTGCTGAGTAATGGTCAGCCTCTATCACGACCGGCATTTACGGCAACTGTGAGGATGCTGCTCACCAGTTGCGGCTTTGACTCGGCACTGTATGCTGGCCACTCATTCCGGATAGGTGCCGCCACCACAGCAGCGCTGGCCGGGCTGCCAGACTCCGTAATCAGAGAGGCGGGCAGATGGAAGAGCGATGCCTGCCTGAGGTACATTCGTACGCCGACTGCAGCCAAGGCACGGGTGGCTGCGGCAATGGCCTCAGCCCCTGATATCAAATTCTGACTAGCTTGAGCTGCTTACAGCCTGCACGGGTAACTGTTCTAACTTCTCTGGCCCGTTCCGGGAGTGCCGATTTATGGAATATATGCTCTCAACTGGTTTTCCGCATACCTATATATTTAGCATTTGGCGGCTCCATGCGGAGTCATTTGGCGGCTCCATGCGGAGTCAGTTGGCGGCTCAGCTGCGAGCCATCTAGCGGCTCCAAGCGGGGCCATCATACGCATGCTCGATAGTTTAACCAGTTGCTCGTATCGGCACTCCCGGCGTAACCCAACATACTGTTGCTCTGTTGTGAGGTGGGGGGATGCTAAATGAGCGTTAGCATGCTAACGCAAGTTAGCAGCCAGCCCAGCGAGCTGGCCCGGTTTACGCGCATGCGCAAACCTCTCGGGCGTGCGCCCAAAACGATCCCGTGCAAGGTCGATCATTGCTGTTGTTGACTTTTGAGCTTGTAACTCGCAGAACGTTTTTGTTCCCACCCTCCCACCCTCTATCTCAACTCACGTTTCTGGCTCATACGTGAATATATGCTCTCAACTGGTTTTCCGCATACCTATATATTTAGCATTTGGCGGCTCCATGCGGAGTCAGTTGGCGGCTCAGCTGCGAGCCATCTAGCGGCTCCAAGCGGGGCCATCATACGCATGCTCGATAGTTTAACCAGTTGCTCGTATCGGCACTCCCGGCGTAACCCAACATACTGTTGCTCTGTTGTGAGGTGGGGGGATGCTAATTATTTTTATTTTATTCCAAGCAATACATGGCTGGGGTAGCCAATGACCACTTTGCGTGGCAATTGCAGGGTTTTTATAGCCAACCACGGCTAATAAAGGGCCGCATAAGGTGTAGACTCACCACTAAAACACAAACCTGAATATCCGGATCTCCAAGCATCACACGCTGCACACGCACTTGCTCAGCTCCGTATATCCTGAGCGGGTTGAACATCTCAATGACGTCTTTCCAGATGAGATCAATGGCCTAGTCTAGCTGACCTGTGTCACCAGGTCTGGTTCGACAAAGCCAGTGATCTCATCTGAAAAGACTTGTACTCACACACAGAGCAGACTAACGGGGTCCGAGGCAACAAAAGACGAAGATCTCTAAAAGCAGTGTAAGCTGGAAACTTCCGTTCGCGATATCAGGGACGTCAGACACGGTACGGTCACTACGGTATTGACCGTACCACTTTTTGCCCCAGGTACCCCGTGAATCAATAAAATACACTGATCTGGGATCTAAATTTCCAAAAATTTTGGCTCAGCCACCACTCCCCGATAAGTAAATTGTACTTCAGATGGCTGACCGTACCACACTGAAATACCTTCCGACGCCCCTGCATCTGCACATGTACAGTCATTTGCCGGTTTTGAAACAGAATTCGTTAGAAATTCACTTCGTTAACCCACAAAAATCCGGAGATCGCTAACTTAAATTGACGTTAAATTAAAATATCTGGCCTTACAGTAGCAGTTTCACACCCGATAGGCCAAGGGGTCACGCTCACTCCGTCTCCTGATAGATGGTAGACCCAGCCAGGCGCGTGCGCCGGTGCCCTTGAAGGGGGGGCTTCCGGGGCGTCCCGAGGAAATTTTTCAAAAAATGAAGCAAAATCCTGCATTTAGAGCGAAAAAAGGGGGGTGGTTCTGGCCCATCTGGGCACCCAGGAACCCATACGGGGCACCCAGGAACCCATACGGGGCACCCAGGAACCCATACGGGGCACGCGCCTGGACCCAGCGATCTTACTCAAATGCAGCCAAGTGCGAGTCACTCCCAGCGATCTTACTCAAATGCAGCCAAGTGCGAGTCACTTGTGCAGTCGACAAATAATTATTGTGTTGCTGCAACTACTGTTTTCCAGCAAACGGAAAACTTACAATAAAACCATCGGCCATTCCCATCCAGAAAGCTAGACGCTCTCTGCAATGCCCACAACCTGCATCCAGCAAAACGCGTTTCTAGACTGTGTCCCTCGATCCGCATGCAGCACCCATTTACGACTCTTTCCCAAAGCCCTACGATGTAGTTGTCGCTACCACTAATAATTCTTCGTAACAAAAATTCATCTGACTCGGCCTAGGAAGCCAGGACTCCTGTCTTATTCGGTACGACCCTGACTTGTTGGAGATCAACAGCCCACTGATTAGGTCTTACTTAGCTCAACTATCAGACTGCGATGCCATGGCTGCCATCCTGCTCCGGTACGATCTCTTTGTTCACCTCCAGCGCGAAGTGCTAAGAGAGGTGCCAGTGAACGTAGTCTACGTACCATACTCGGCAAGGGCCGCGGTATCTGGAAGTGCAGCGATGTCGATCCTCAACTCAACACTGTCTTTCGTGCGCCTCGCGAGCTCGTACTCATAGCTCCGACCCGCATGTCCACACCTAGAAATATTACTAGGGTAGCAAGTAGAGATCTACTACAATGAAAGAAGACTACCGTAGCTCGCAAGCGGACTGAAGTAACAAAATGAACTTTTCCAAGATCGATACGACTGAACTACTTTTGTCTACATGACTAGTGTTTTTGTACGACGAGGAAGGGACGATTGATCATTTACGTCACCATACAAATGAGGTCAGGGATTCGCATGGCTTGCAGGGACTAGTCCCCGCACGTCTGGTGCGCGCACTTCAACTGTCTCGACTCTTGACAGGAATAGTACAGGTTTCGTGCGTGAAAGAAAGTTTTGGCACGCGGATAGCTGAGAACAACAAGGCTATTACCATGATTACTAGAACTACCACTAGTACCGTAGTATCAGGCGGTGAATGGTCTATACGAGGAGACCTACTCGTAGATCTACACTGGACATGCGCCCGTACACGTGCACTGCGCAGAGCCCGACCAGGCCTGGCGCCTTGCACGTCCGACTTGTACTGTAGACTCGACTCTGCATGGCCACTGGCCCGTCCCTCGGGTCAGTTCGACTCAGTTGTCGCAACTAACTTAGTTCAGGGCAGCTAATTATTTACTTACTTGTTGGGGATCGGGATCCGGATCCCCAGCCTGCACGTTGGAATTATTTTTGTACATGTACCATGTGTACTGCCCACTGGTCAGATCATTAATTTAGATTAGGATTCAGAGTATCACAGTCAGTGCGTGAGGGTGCTCCAATGACGTATATGTATAATGTACATGTAATAGTAATAGCAAAACAAGTAGTTACTTTTGAAGTTTTGTGTCTACCAACTAGATGCAGATCTACAATGAATACCACATTATACTCACGACTATACACCAGATGTTGAACAGTCAGACAGTAGCCCTTGGTTTCGGCCGGCACCAGCAATCCATGATGGGACAGATCATGCCTATTTCACGCAGCCGAGCAGGGGCAGCGCGCTGCTTTAAGTTCCAGTGGTGATTCTAAGTTCTAGCTGGAACTCCCTGCCACCTGCGCTGCGGATGATATCTGTGTACAAGTACCGTCAATGTCGCATGGACTGTACTCCCCACACTCTAGCATGATCTCTCTGTCTCCCAGGCTGTCTCTCCGTCTGTCTTTCGGCTTAGCAGCCTGTCGCTGTCTCTGTCTGTCTGTCTCTGTCTGTCTGTCTGTCTCTCTCTCTCTCTCTCTCTCTCTCTCTCTCTCTCTCTCTCTCCTCTCTCTCTCTCTCTCTCTCTCTCCTCTCTTTCTCTTCTCTCTCTCTCTCTCTCTCTCTCTCTATCTATCTATCTTTCTCTCTCTCTCTCTCTCTCTCTCTCTCTCTCTCTCTCTCTCTCTCTCTCTCTCTCTCTCTCTCTCTCTCTCTCTCTCTCTCTCTCTCTCTCTCTCTCTCTCTCTCTCTCTCTCTCTCTTTCTTTCTCTCTCTCTCCCTCTCTCTCTCTCTCTCTCTCTCTCTCTCTCTCTCTCTCTCTCTCTCTCTCTCTCTCTCTCTCTCTCTCCTCCCTCCCTCCCTCCCTCCCTCCCTCCCTCCGCCAATGCCTAACCAGATTCCACCTACCCCGAGTCCCCATTATCTAATATGTTCTGCATTTTTTTAAGTCCCCTCGTGCTTCTTGGCACCTTCATTCGCTTCCTTGTTATTGAGCACCTCTGCTCGTTTGGTCACTGCGAATGTACAAATTCAATGACATCATTGTGTCCACATCGACTTCAAAGTGACCCTTGCTCCGGGAAAAGCACCGCCCCCCCCCCCCCCCCGATATAATTATGTCATATCCCCCTCCCTTTCAGACTTTTAAAACGATTGTCTTGTTTCAGTATGTTGACGTGAATACTGTAGTAAGCTGTCTTGGTCCTTGAATTCTAGTGTCAAACTGCCTTGCGGCGCAACCCATGTCTTCTTGCCGTGGAATTGCGGATGAGTATTGATACCCACGTGGACCCTGAAATAAAATCAACAACAACATGCCGGCGGAGTGTGGTACATTATCTGGTATGTTTCTTGTTCTTTCTTTGGTCTGTGGAATCCAAAAGAAATGGCGCAGGAAAAGCAGGGCATAAGGTTTGGGTAAGGTAATGTCATAAGCATGTCATAAGGTATGTATGGCTATGCTAACTTCGCTGCTTTTCCAGCAGAACCTACCAATTTCTACGAGCATTATCCGCCATGCCATGCTAACAGTAACAATCAGACGTGCACAATATCTAGCCGCAAAGTGCTGAGCCATTCCCACCACGGCATGAAAGTGAGCTTTAGCATTTTTCGATAGCGCTAACCAACAACAGTCTTCCAACTAATTGAAGGTTCATGGATATGAGTGATGATTCCAAAGAGGGGAAGGTAAGTGCCATCAAGCCGAGCACAGGAACATTCCAAGGTTCCATGGAATGATGGATTGAACTTGAGTCAGTCAAGTGTCAAGTTCAGCAGGGAGCGTGTGTGTTCCTCTTTGGAACAACCATTTACTTCATCAGTATTATAATACCGCCGAAGTCGCAACTTCTAAGTTCGTATTGTTGTCCCTCACGCGGACGTGCGACTAGTTGTTGGAGGTTATTGCGTTGTGAACGTCGGTTACGTAAATGTAACTATTGGCTCTCAAC